GAATGATCATTCGAGTTAGTTCGAAATGTAGGAAAAACAACGTCAACAACTGCTGCGATCGGATCGTCAAACTCTTTCACCAAAAACTCATCAGGAATATCAATATTTGCATAACCATCTTCATCCTCCCCAAGATTTCCATCTCCAATCTTTGCAATCCAATCTGCACTTTTCCAAATCACTGTAATTTTCACCAGGCTTCAGATTTTGCAAGCGCATGTTCTTCGTCAATTTAAGAACAGTGCAATGTCTCTACAACTCAGACGAATTGATAGTTGCATGGACAATATCTTGTCGTCTTCCTTTCGGAACAACTGGCAAGATTTGACGAAAATCTCCACCAAACACAACAGTCTTTCCCCCCAAAGGCAGCTTTTTCTACGGGGATCAACATTCTTCATTATATCTTTCAAACTTCGATCCAAAGCCTCAAAACAATATATGTGCATCATTGGAGCCTCATCCCAAATAATTAACTTCGCTTTAATTATAAGCTCAGTAAGAGGCGTTCCACAGTTAATATTGCAAGTCAATTTTCGTGTAGATTAAATGGAATAGAGAGTTTAGAATGCGTTGTTCTTCCACCGGGCAACAACAAAGAAGCTATACCACTGGACGCAACATTCAACATGATATCTCCGTTTGACCTCAGAGCAGCGGATAATGTCTTCCATATAAACATCTTGCCGGTACCCCCATAACCGTAAACAAAGAAAACCTTCCCATATAGAGAATTAAGAGTACGCATAACAGTATCATAAACCATATGTCGCTCGGAGTTCATCATTGATAGACATCGTTTATGATCTTCTTTCAAACTCTCGGTGTCATGACACATCTCATCTTTGTTCTTATTTATTTAAATTTATTTAAAAGTAAAATAAAAAATATATATATGAAATTTGGTTGAGTAAGTTTACGATTTGTTATAAACAAAATTAATAAATTATTGTATCGAAATTTACATAATTGAGAAATATCACAAATAATAAGCATTGTTATTTTTATCAAGTGTTAAACCGTTGGTACTTTTTTTATATTAAAATAGTTAATCACCTTAAAGTATAGTTTATCAACATTATTTGCACTATGTATGTATGATTATAAAAATACGATGGTATATATATTTAAACTATTATACATAAACTAATCTATACTGATATTGTGTTAATTTTGTAGTTAATTTTTCGTACAAATTATTATTTTTTATTGTTTAAATTATCCACAAAGAATTTAACAATTCTTTTCAAAGCCATGAATATTGGCAGTGGAATGTTATATTCCATGAAAACATGAATAAATATATACCTTTATTATTTCATACTAAGATAAAATTTATATTACACTGTTTCATTTATTACTTTGGTTTTCACAATTATATTTTGAAGTAACTTTATTTAAAAATTAAGTTATTTATATAGACTTCCTTATGTTAATACATATATAACGTAATCAGTTGTGGTTTTAGAAAAATATATAACGGATTAAACTCAAAATATACGTTTTTTATTTTTTTTAAGACAATATTCATCATTTTTTATTTTGAGTAATATATATTTTCATTTAAACAAACTGTAAAAATTCTGAAAATCATATTCAATATTTCCAAACATATTTAATGTTATTTATATTATTGAAGGAAATGTAAATCACAATTACGATTTCTTATCATAGAGATAAATTTAAAGTTTCAATTATGTAAGTAATTTGGTTATTATTATGACACTAATAAATAACTAATGAGTTATAAAATATGTAATACGTATACATATTTTTTCAATTTACTCATTATCTTCATGATCCATATTAATTTTTATATATTTTTTTGCCAACTAATAATGTCCTATATATTTGTATTTGTTCGAATTCAAATAAAAAAAATTGATTGGTCGAGAAAATAAGTATAATCATTTGATTGATAAATGAACAACTTGAGGTCTTATGTAGATTGAAGTTTTTAATCACTTTGTTAATTAATTTGTATAATTAATTTTTTGATGATAAATTTTAAGGGAGGATTGCCATTATTATGTCCAATGCATTGAACCAAGAGTTCCCTTACAAAAATGGACTTTATTACTATAAGTAAATGCAAGCAAGTGAATAGTCATTTTGAAATTGGATAAATAGTGTAATTAAAGACAACTTAATTATGACAATTAATATATATCTTAGACAACAATTAATGCATATCTTTGGAGAGAAAAGTAGCTCCTAAACCAGCTGCTCTGGTTTAATATATATATAGATACCAAACCAATTGCGTCATACTATCTTAACTCCTATTCAGTTGAGACTCTGACTTTGTTGTTGCTCGACTAAGAGCCGAAAAATATGCGTTGACCATTTAACTTTCTCTAAACCGAACTGAAATAAATAATTGGTATGGTTATTGAGATTTAAAAAACATCCGTACCGAGAACCAAATTAATCTAATCAGTCTCAACTTTAATTATATATATTTTGAGTAATTTTAAATTACTTAATAATTGATCTTAACTCGAACATGGAATTATGCGCGTTTAGTTATCAAACGAATACGAACAAGTTCGCATACTAAATGTGCGCTCGCGAACAACTAAGTATTTTATAATTTTATTATACATATATATATATTTATGTACATAAATTTATATATAATATATACATATATAATAAAATATATAAATATGAAAATATGTCAAATATAAAACAAAATAACTTATAATGTACTTTAAAAAAAACAACAGACACGAACAAGAACATGTCGAATAATACGAACACGAACTTGTCGAACAATTTAAACAATTCGCGAACAAGTTCGACTATATAAACTAACGAATAAGAACATTTCGAACCAAGAAACGAACAAACACGAACGAAAATTATAGTTCGAATATTAAATGAACGAACACGAATACGTTCGAAAATTAGTCGAACTAGAGCTCGAAATAACTTAGACTCGGTTAAGTCTCTAACTCTTAATTGAAATTCTTAAAAATCTCTTACACATAATTTAAAATCTATAAACTCAATTAAAATTCTTAGAAGTCTCTAACACTTCATTAAAAATCTCTAATTCAATTAAATTGTAAGTATTCTCTTACAATATTGACACAATTAAACCTCTAGCCCCTAAACTCTAACTCTGCACACACAGTACAAACATCAAAGAGAAAAGAGAAGTCCCAACCCAACGGCACTTGCAGTAAAGTCGCGCTCAGGTCCCACCAGAGTATTCGCCAGCGACGGAAGTTTAACCGCAACAGGCAACTTCCACAACCAGCGGCGTCACAGGTGGAGAAGGTCTGAAGCAAGAAGGGGAAAGAATAAAAAGAAAAATAAAAGAAAAATAGAAAGACATACCTCTCTCCGACGATGTCGCCGGTTATCTGCCGGATGTTGGCCGTCGTCACTCGTGGAAGAAAAGGCACAAGGTAATTTTTCATTTCGGGTAGTTTTTTCAGTTGACTCAATTTTAGTGCAAAAAAAAAAACCCTAGATATCTTTAACAGTGAAAGTCATGTGTTGTGATTATGATTGTCATGTGTTGAAAACAGACAGCATTGAGTTGTTTATCGTACTGTTGAAAACAGGCTCGATGATCAGGATGTACCCGTAGTGAAAGTCATGTGTTGTACCAGAGAATGGTGTTTATATTAGTAGCATTATTGTTGTTGTTTTTAATGATATAAATTTTATATGAAGAAGAAGAAGAAGTATTAGTAGTAGTTGTTTTGGTGGATAGGAAGTTGTGAGTGTTCGGATCCAAGCCCTGAGCAAGGAGCTTTTTCTTGATGCAAGAATTCCAGAAATTCTTGATCTCGTTATCAGTCCTTCCGGGTAAGTGCTTAGCTATCTCAGTCTGCAACTTCCTCGCATATGTAACCTGCGAGTTTAGCAAGGCACATATTAGCTCTGTAGTATCATCGAAGTAGTTTTCCCAAATGCTTTGCTCTCGAAACCATCCTATTCATAATTCAATTCCTTCAACTTCTGCTGCAAAAGTGCAACCAAGGCATCTCCAGTTAAAGGTGTTTTTACTGTGGTTTTTCTCCCGTGGTTTTTCTAATTTCTTCCTCCCACCATTTTCTCCAAAATGTGAATCATATTTGTTCCTTCTTTCAGCAGCTTCTTTCATTACTGGAGAACTAAATGAGAAAGCACCAACATTATCTTGCGATTCATCCATATCGTTAATGATGTGAGCATCGCATACCAAATGTTATTTTCCGGGCAGGAAAAGAAGCAAAATTCTTTTGGGACCTTAAAAAGCCAGTGCTTTCTACTTGTCTAGATACATTAGACGGCCGCCTCTTTCGTCCAGGTGGCACCGAGTCTTTGAGACCATAAGAAATCCTTTTCTCCATTTCAAATTTATCGTTTTCCATTCCAACGGGCAAGCGCGTTTTACTGCTAAAATTCTTTAATTCCCTCACATTTCCAGTCTTCGGCCTCAGAGAGCCCGAGGCCCTCGCCGTAATACTAATCAATATATCTCTTCTTCTAATATACTCAACCCAATCAATTACTCTCTAGCTAGCTCCGTCATTCTATCTCCTTTTCATCTTAATTTATAACATATAAACAACTAGTGCCCCTGTGTGTGTGTGTGTGTGTGTCTTTAAACAAAAGAGCTATTAATTTTCACTGTATTAATTTATCTTTAAACAAAAGAGCTATTAATTTTCACTGTATTAATTTATAGCATATGAACAACTAGCTAATAATGTTAAGGATTGAAAATCTTGTTTTCTGGATAGAGAAGCAGACGTCAATATGTTTTGCTTGCAGAGTAATATATATCTTTAAGTTTGAAGCTACTGCGCTATGCTAGTTTTGGATGTATCCATTAGTTCGTATTCTTTATAATAGTACATACAAAATTAGTGTCGTTGGACCTTGATGACTACTGACTTAGATAGTTCTAACTATTGAATTTCTTAGACTGAATCAGTTTTCTTCTTGAATCATCCCTTGGAAATCTTCGCTTTTGAGATCTCGAGTTGCATATCATATTCGAGAAAAGAGTTTAAGGGAAATGATAACAGGTGCCATTATGATCAAGTATAACTTTTTGATTTATGATCTGTGTTAAAAAACATGACTAAACATGACTGGTAACATGTCTGTTTGCATGAGTTCGTTTTTAAATAGAACACATGATAAGGATGTAATTCATGCATCTATTTCTCAAGATATTAAGGAATCAATGATAGAAACAAAATCGGATGTTGCAGACTTCGTAAACATACATGATGTCATTGAAGATAGCCCAATGACACCTTAGTCGACTATTGTAGTAGTGTAGAAGATTCTGATAGTGATGACGACATTGACTGGTTTGGTTGTGACTTGTGAGATTAATGATTGATCATTCGAATGTATATTCCTATATTTTTATGTGTTATCATGTGCTTTATTTGTTGCTTGTCTTTTGATGATGCGTAATATTTCTATGCAGACACAAAAAGAAAGGATGGCTGGTCTGTAGAAATTGAATTTACTGCCAAGTCTTGATTATTTTGGCCATATTTTTTTTTTTTTTTTTTGCTGTTTTAGTGTAAAAAAAGGTGAGCAGTGAGCTCATTATGAACTCCTGTTCTTTCTATAATTAATATTTATGAGCAAGTTTTTAGTGTTATCTTTAAATTGATGGCAAGTTGGTGATGCATTATGTTTTGTTTATGTTTTTTTCTGTATTTTACGGGGCTGAAAATGCTTTTGCGTGAAAAAAAAATTCAATCATTGGAAACTTTGAATATATTAGCTTGAAGATGAATAATATAACCATTCTTTTCCTGGTGATCGTTGATTTTCTCATGATAAGGCTGGAACTATTAGTAAATTTAATCTAATGTGTGGTAGGTGTATTAAAGACGGTACACGTAGGAATTGATGAACATGAATTATGAAAATGAAAAATAGTTTGATATTATGAATTGAACAATAACATATTCAGAGTTTCAAGTAGGATAAAAAGGAAAGATGCATTAGGAGGTGAAAAGGATTTAGCCTTTTATCAATCTAAATTAACAATTGTTTGTGAGTCAGACAAAAAGGCCATGTCCCCAAATTTGTATGTTGTGTCGTGTAGCAAAAACATTAGAATCCAACAGGTTTCATTTCTCGGACTAAATGCTGTCAGGAGTCTTTGCACCAAACAACTTTGAAATGTCTACAAGATGGGTATCGAGAATTGACTTGTTGAAAGCTGCCTTTTGAAGCATCCTTCGATCTTGCTTTTCTTTTATATGTTTGTCATTCATTTCTTAAGTAAGATGGTTGCGTCACGGGTTTTAACATTTTTTTTTCCAGGTTTGAGATGGCGAAGAGGATGTAGAGGTTGATTTGACCAAGTTGCCACCACACTGATTTCTGTAGACTAATGTGATATAAAAAGGAATTCCAAATGCTTATCTTTGTTATGTTTGAGATGTAAAACTAGGGTGGTAAGATGCCAATATCTGTGTAGCTGACATAATACAGATATAGATTGTCGAACTATG